TGTGGGTGGAATATTGTTTCAGCCTACGCATGCAAATTCTGGAAATAGGAAATGAGAAATGGAAATATAAGCCATAAGCCGGCCTAACTCACGATGTGAGTTCGAAGATACCAACTACGAAATGCGCACACACTGTTAAGAGTTATTGGCTTTGGTCATGCGGCCAACGAAAAATGAACAGCAGTGCGGCAAATCCTTTTGCTCAAAAGGTCGCTCAAAAATCCTTTCACAGTAAAATTTTTTCTAACCGAACCCAAGAAAAAGAGCGCCAAAAAATGTCTTTGTACTCTACCGTTTTGCTCTACCCCAGATAACAGAATTCAGAAAAGTAGAAAATAGAAAAAAATCCATGCAACGAGGATCGGAGGTGGAGTTACTCAGATATTATCTTGGGTTCGGTTCTTTGGCTGGACCTCAAGTGGGCTGGAAAACTCGGGTCGGTCAGCTGACTGGCAAAGAAAATAAATAATACTAAATGAAATCCTTTTTTCTGCAGTTCCCCCTCCAGTTTTTCTCTCATTGTTGACAGTCCCGTTCATTGAAGCGTTTATCATCTGGGAGATCAGAAACTTCAGATATAGCAGCATGGACCTCACTGTGGGTGCCATTGATAACTGGCCAGAGATCACTGTGACCACTCATCCTCAACTAATCTGCGTTTGCAATAATTATTTGCCCCGGAAAGAAGAGATCTCCTTTTGGGAACCTGCTCTCCAAAATTAAGATGATGATGATGCGCAAAATGTCCACCTTATCGTGATATATCTGTATTTTCCTTTTGGCCTCTTTTTTTCTGCTGCCCTTCCTGCATTTAAGTGTAATGTATAGGGACTTGTGTGCTGATTTTGTGACCACCAAGGAGGCAGCCGAGATTAAAATCAATTAGCCATAAAATTCAACATCTCTATTTGGCATCGACTGCGTGGGCGAAACACTCTTATAACCAAATGGGCGTGACTGGGGTTTACTAAACGATTATTGGTTATTAAAACTTTAACGAGGGGTAATAAAAAGTAGGGACAATTAAACAGTCTGTAAAATCAATAGGGAAAATAACATGTTGAAATGGTAATTAAATTCCTTTCCTTGTTTATAGAACAGAATTGTAAGAAAACTTAATATGCATCCAATGATCTTAATGGTCATTTTTCTGACCTTTTTCTAACCTTTCAGTAAATTAAATCCAATTTGTTTGTCCCTAGAACATTATATTCCGACAATTTTCCTTTCTTTAGCACATTAAAATTCATGATTCCCCAAATATAGCCATCTTCCCATCCGTTGGAGGTCTTTGCCCTGACTTTCCTGACGTTTTCCCCTTTTTAATATTTTCCACGCATCATCATTTGGTCAACTTCCTTCCGTCTTCGCCTGCAGCAAATCGGCTTATACTGAAAACGATTTCCTCCAGAGTTTCCGCCAGAGTTCTATTCTATAACATTGAAAGTCTTGGCAAACAGCGATGCGGTGAGGTATGTAAACTTGACTCCTAGCCCAACTGAAAGGGGGCTCGATCGGCATTCAGATAGAGCCGAAAGGAAAACAACAGCGTTCTAAGAACCCAACAACAGAAGCATTAAAATCGGTGGGGAGCGCTGCACGTACTCGTTACTAGACAAACCTGTTGGACGTGCGCCCCTTTGGAGAAAAATCAGGAAAAACACCCAGGCAGGAGAGGACTGTACCCGTGTACAGTGAACGCCCTGGAACGGATGCCAGTACCAGTTTGGATCTGGAGCCCACAAACAAACAAATAAGCGTGCAGCCATAGAGCTGCGAACTAAACCGAACTGGGATATGTTATATGTGGTGGGATGGAGGGTTTTAGGGAGGTAGGGAGTGAACTTGCCCGTGATTACACAGTGGAATCGCAGAGGAAGAAGGCGACATGCCTGCCATAATAAGGGGCTAGAGCTGGACTCTACTGCACTGCAAAAAAAAATAAAATCGTCTAAGTAAACATTCTAATACGATTTTTAAACTGTTATATTTCTTGGTATTTCTTTCAGATACTTATATTACATCCCAATAAATTAGATATAAACAGATTGTATAGTAGATAGATAGTATCAAAACATATTATATTGGAACACTGATTTCCCAGCTAACTTTACCGATTTTAGAATTGATTTTTTTCCAGTGACTTAAAAAAGGCGACGAAAGGGGGCAGGAATGTAAATGTTTATGTATCTATGGGATGCCTTACATATGCACACATCCATTTATGTATGTACGGCCTAGGCGATCCACCAAAAGGTGACTGATCTTTACAATTCGACACTTCGACTTTACAAACGAGAAAGAGGAATCGGAAAAGGGAATGGGAATGGGGTTTTCGGGATGGGGTCTTCGAGACAGGGGAATGGGGTCTCGAACCCAACGGACAGCGCAATCAAAACAAAATCCATCGAACACTGGCCCACGTAGAAAACAGAGTTGTAGAAAACGAAACCAAAGGTGAGGCGAGGGCAACAAGCCGACGAAACGAAGACATAAAACAAGTATCCATCTCTTTGGAAAAAAAGGATGCACGACTCGCATCCATAAGATACTTATTCGATGTAAGAAGAACCAGAAGAAGAAGTAGAAGGGTCAAGGCGAACGGAGATTTAAGTAGTTTTTTAGGCATGGCTTATGATGGATTTGCCCGGCTGAGCATGCTAATGGATTTTTCGATTTTCTCCTCTCTGCCCCGACAAACCGACATTTTTTGGAAACATCAAAGCTGCTCGGGGTTTTCGAGGTTTTCGGGAAATGCGATAAATGTAAATGGATATGATGGGGTTAGTCGGAGTAAACCAGTTCTAAATGAAAATATATATATACCTCTGCACACAGCATGCAGAACTTGTTGAGCTGGCAGCTGGCCGATGATTTCCAAGCTTTAATTTGGTCCGGTTCGCATAAAAGCTATATAGTTAGAAGTAAATCCACCCTGCAGATACGGAGTATGCTGAGTATGCGTAATTTTTATGACGGAATTATTACATCATTAATCTTCATCAGGCGACAATGACACAGACTTCGTGCTTATCGAGCGACTGCATAATGTTTCTTGACCAAATGCGGGTTCTCCGGGGTGGCTGGGAAAAGTCTTGAATGCAAATGTCTGTCTCTCTGATTTGTAATCAAATTAAATTGTGTTTTGTCCAAACAATGAGCGACAGGCGACAACATCGCATCCGTGTTGAAAACCGAAATTCCTGGTAAGCGCCAATCTCAGGCCGGAAAATGCATTTTTCCCACAGTTACCGCACAGCTCCACTCGCTTTCCAGGGAAACTCCACCCCCTCTCTGGTTGAAAACCTCATAAATTCTCACTTTTTTTGGCAGGCCGCACACGGCGAGGGAAATTCGAGGCGGCAGGACTCGAAGGACACAGCGCCAGCCAAAGATGAATAGACATTCCCGAGATAATCAACGGCATTATCTGCTGATTATTATGTGTTCTTGGGGCATTCCACAGAATTGCGTTGTGAAAGGAGCGCCGAACTCGCAAAAAATATCGAACTATATCCGGGATGATCGGCGGATGATGAGGATGCCAGGACACCCGGGTGAGTGGCTGAGTATCCGCTTTCCTTCTTTTTTCTCTCTTTTTGCAAATTCCCTGTGAGCTCATCATCATCATCAAACCCTCGGTCACTTGAGGTTTAAGCCAACATTAAAAAAGAGCCGAAAAAACACCCAAAAACGAAGGAAATCAGTGGAATAAACGTGAGAACATCGAATGTCCTCGTACAGAAATTTGCTTGGGCTCCTTATTGTTCGCTGAAGTACTCGAGAGATTTGCTAGTTGTGTCCTTATTGTTTGCGGGTGAGTGAATGAATGAATGAATAACACTGAATGAATGAATGGATTAAGTTCACGAGTATCTGAGGGATATTGCCGCGTTTTTAGCTGGAAAAACGATGAGTCCCGGATGCAGTCGAGGCGTGAGAAGGAGGCGATCTCTGCGGCCTTGGCAACAAGTCTATTAGGACCAGTCACTTGTTTATGGCTTACGTAACTTGGGTGGCAGAGGATGTGAAATTGGGATGTTTGTGAAAAGGATGTGCTCTGATTTCTGCGAGTTGGGTAAACACCAGGCATTCATCTCATGTACTCACATCCTGTTTACCCTTGACCGATTGCAAATGCAAATCGCACATTAGATGCCATGTGCAACTTTCCGCCCAGCAGTCAAACATTATGCAACCAAAAACGAAGGCCGCTGGTGTCATTGATGGCAAATGGCAGGGAAACCCATTCGGGACACGTTTTTATGGAGGTGCGAAATGGCACATTTTTTGACGGCACGGAACCTGCCGCGTCATTGAGTCCTTTTTAGAACTCAGAGAACCTGTGCTGTGCAAGCCTTGCAATTTGTCACCTGAGGCGACATTCAAACTGCCAACGCATTCCAACTGAGTTTTTGCTTTCGGCCTACTGGGTCCTTTCATTTGGCCACGATTTGGTAGCAACAGTTTTATGAATCGGAATTGCAATCCCGACCGTTACGAATATTCATTCATTGCGGCACACACTCTGGGGACCTTGAATGGGGCTTCGAGTTTCAACCAAAGGTTTTATAAAATATTTATTAAATTTCCAACGAAAATATTTGTACCGAATTTGGCAAATCATTTCCTTTAGCAAAACTGTGGGTAATTTTCCCAGGCTTTGGTAAACTGAAATTGCAATTTGTATTTATGCAATGGGAAAGGTTTGAGAAGGTTTGACTCTCACGGATTTGGGGAAACCTCAAGGGAAAGGCTTTGGATTCTGGGTAAAAATTGGAAAACTAAGGGAGCAGTTATACTGAAATTGCCAATTTTCAATGCGACAGGTCCGGAAATCTTCATACCCAGGTCAAAATAAAAAAGCAAATATATTGATTAACAAATATTCAACTCTACATTAAAATTTAAGTGTCAATAAGTTTCATTTTGAACACATTTTTGGAATCAGAGTTGCCTTTGAGTTTGGTTGTCAAGCGAAATTGACTTCTTTAAATATTAAAACTTGTTTTCTTTTAACTGGAAAACATGGAAAACCCGTGGAGCTCCTTGGCTTCGATAGGATCTCTTGTGGTGCCCCATACATCAGCGGGCTTACCAGGTTTTCCGGAAATAGATCATAGCGATGAGGATGGCAGTCCATTGCCAAAAATACCCAGGATGGCTGAGCACGTGCAGAACTGCTCATTGCCCAGGGAAATGGACACTGACTTTAAGGAGGAAGCTGGTGAGTGAAAAGCTGTCTAAGATTTGTATCTATAAGAGAAATATATCTATTGCTTTTATAGCTCGCTTTCAGTCCATGCAGGCGAAGGCTCTACCGTACCAGCCTGGTACAGTGGTAATTCAGCCACCCAAACGATCGCCTCCCGAGGCGGAAAACAATCGGCGGATGTATATTCCCGATTTGAATCAAGTCATAACCCATCGCGATATTTTCAATTATTTCTGCACTTTTGGGGATTTGGAACGGGTTTGCGTGAGGAACGGCACGGATAACTTAAACTACGCCATGGTCCTGTTTTCCCGAACTGCCTCCAAGGAACAGGCCATCAAGTCGAATCCGCATCTTATCAAGGGAAACCGATTGAACTGTCGCAAGGCTACGGTGAGATCAGGAAATAGGTTCAATATGCAGACATTCGGCATTGTAGGTAATCAACGGATTGAATCTTCTAAGAAAAGAACAAAATCTCCGGTTAGTCAGCTACCCAAAACACCTGAATGGTTGCCAATTGAAGAGAAATCCAAAAAATCTGACCCCTTGAAGCAGAAGAAACCCCAAAAACAATCAATTCGCAGGTCGGCACGTCTTCAGAAATTAGTGGAAGCAAAATCTAAAAAGACAGTGGCTCCCGGGAAAGCAGATAAGAGCTACGTGTATGCAGTAACCACCAAAGATGGGGTCTCCCGATGGAGTTTCAAGTTATCCGAATCCTCCCTGAGTCCAGACGAGGTGAGGGTCCTTAAAAAAGGTCATCCACGAGCGGCACAGGCTCTGCGAAATCTTCGGGAGAAAGTAATACCCAAGTCTTCGGAACTTTCCAAGCCGAATCCGGAGATATCAGAGAGTGAAACTAAGCCGATTGCTCTTAAAAGTTTAGAAACTAATCCTGGTCCTGTAGAAACTCCTGCTCCCATTTCCGTTGACCTTCCTTTGGCTCAACCACTGACTCGTACTCCCTGGGTCCCCCTGCCCAAATTAGTTATTCCAGAATTTTCCAAACCAGATCTGCGCTCAAAAATTCTGTCCACTTTGGGTCAAAACTACGTCCATCACTGCTACACAAATGTAGAGGCTTACCGAAAAAGCAAGTGTTATATAGATCTACCACCCGAAGAGTTGATAAAGCGACCCAGTGTCAAGGAGTATGTGGATCAGATGTACGCAGAAAAATAATAATAATGAAGACCTAAATATCTGTAATTGAAATATTTTAAATATAACATGCCCAGTACTCACTTCTTAATTACAATTTTGTCGTGGAAAAGGTGTCCTGTTGAGTTATAAAATGTTCTAGTTTTCAAGAACTATATTTTCAAAGTATCCATAAAGAGTGTTACACTTTTCTAGAGAACTAAAATGATTATTAATAACGAAGGTTTGACTCTCAATAAACTGGAAAACCCCAGAGGATGTCCTTTGATTCCTGGAAGATATCAAAGGAATTGCTTGAATGAAAAATGAAAATATTATAAAGTTAATTCCACTTTCCGACTACATTTGTACCCTTATAAACTGAAGGCACTCCAATTGCAGCAACCTGTCAACATAACTAATCCCCTGAATCAGCTGATGGCGGTACTGCCCTCCTTGAATGATCCACAAAATATGAACAATTCATAAAAGATATAACAGAATGCTATAAAGGAGAAAAAATAGTGGGCCTTGATTTCTTTTTTAGCCTCTGCTTTGCCCGACATTCCCAAGGATGTGCCTCCAAGAACCCGCTTGTTTTTGTTGCTGTTGGCCGTGTTAATTGTCCAACATTGTGATCGTGGACGGGAACGTGAACAGGTCGGGTGCCATTAACAATCTTAACAACGATCCACAGCCACAGCGATCCCACGGCTTGTCGCCTTGTTTCTCGAGCGGTTTTTTATGCCATTTACAGAGAAATCTTGCAACAAATCAGGAGGAGCTCCCTTTTCCAAAGTAAATATGAGTATGAGTGTGCGAGGTCGACCTTTATTCGTTTGATGTTAAAAAATTGTTCTACCTTTTTGCCCCCTATTTCTATTTTTTGGCTGGCCATCTCTGTGAACCTGTGACGACGCAATTCTTTGCCATTATCAGCTGCATCCTTACAGGTCCTGCACTAGTTCCCCATTCCCGTTCCCGATTCAATTTGGCTTTTATTGGGATCTCGGGCATCCCGATCCGATCCGATCCTAATTGCGGTGGCAATAGCTCGGCGGTTAATCACTCTGTACCTGCGGCTTAGACAGTCAAACCCTGCAGTCAGTCATCGCGGCGGAGGCGGAGATGCAAGTCGTATATATATATATGGTCCTGCAAATGGATCGACCTCGATTTTCACCAGCCAAATTGCGGCTTTGTGTACGATATACCTTTTCCCATTTGCCGGTGGATACATTTGGGCTGGATCGTTATCTGGTTCTCTTTGTGCTTTCAAGGTTTATGGTCTAGCACACATATTTCCTGTGAGAACAAATCCCAGGCTTGATGACCCCCGTAAACCCAAAGAACATCCCGACTAACAGCAATGCCACTAAGTATTCCCCTTTCCATTTTTTTGGGGGCAAACTCGCATTGCTCGCAGCCTGGAAAATCTACATAATGACAGGACCATACCGAAAACTAGTTCAGATCGCAAATTACGAACCGGTAAGGGATGAGTATATGGGATGGGATGGTATAACGTTGCAGTTCCCATTCAGGACAGGACATCAAACGCAACGGGAGACGCGGCCGTTGAGGTTCGGCAAAGGTCATGTCAGGACTTTGCATAAAATATTTGAAAATGTTTTCATTATGGTAAGTAGACACAAAAGCCCAACACACGAGCGATTCCCACCGAAAGGGGTGTCCTTTCCCAGCCCATCCTTGTGCCCAGGATCTTGGCATATATTGGTGATAAATTAGTTTAATGTTGGAAACACCAAACTCCTTACTTAAAGGAAAAAAAAAGACACTCGACCGCAGCTGAGGCGGCAAAGCTTGGTAAGAAAAATCGTCTTCAAAATTTTTGGCGGCATTTTTCCGACATGTACGTGTCCAACGAAATGAACTCGAGTCTCCTGGCAACTAATGAACTGCGCAAACAATGAGACGTACTCTTTAAGGAAAAAACTACATGAAAATCACGTCTTGGGAAATTTTCACATCGCTGATTTTAAATGGAAAAAAACAACTACACTAGCTGGACATTGCAGGAAAAACAGGAGATCAGGACATGACACAATTGCAGGTCACAGGACAATTGTTGCACTCACGCACGTGCAATGTGTGTCTCTGGATTTCTGTATCTCTGGATTTCGAAGTCGAGTGCGCAGGGCCACGCCCATTGTCTATATAGCATCGCACTATATAGTGCGTTTTCTGAATGAAGCGAACAGAGTTACGAGTTACTTTGAATAGCGGCCTCAGTGGCAAGTGGATCAGATCCTGCGACAAAGGCCTTTGTGTCCTTTGTGTTCCGCCTTGTTGGGGGTGTGTGGTGTTGTTGCAATTTTAGTGTAATTTTATTGTTATTAATTGTATGAAATGGGTTTTTAAATGGCCTTTGTTTAGTGCAAATGAATGGCCATTGGAACAATTAATGGAATAGTAAAAACGTGTCATGTTAAAGGTATGTAATATCATAGGTTTTTTAGGCGGGACAAATAAATCTAGCGATTGTAAGACAATTTTCATTTGTTTCAAATAAAAAAGGAATAACACTGCTAACAACAATGTGATATAGATAAAAAAAACACAAATAAAATCAAAGTGGAAAAACTAATTTTATAAGGATATTATTATTTTAGAAAATAGTAATACCCATATACCCAAGGCTATTGAAACTAAGGATTTATTTAAAAGCAAACATAATAACTGGTAATATGATCATGTTGAGAGTGCCTCAAGAACATTAAGGTCAATCTAACAAAAAGTACTCGGCTCTAAGGACTTCTCTCAAGAAAACAGCAGTATCCCTTAGAAATATGACCAGAAGTGTTTAAAACTGAAGTATTCTAAGGTCAAGCCTTAAGAAAACCACAAGATACCAAGGATTCCAGGAGTACTTTCAAGTCGCCTCTTGAATTAAACAGAAGTTACTTCCCATAAAGGATTCTTTCAAGCAAGTTCTCCTTTCACCTATACCCCCTTGGATGTTATTCTTTCATGATATACTTTCTGCCTTCTAAACCGATTTCCGCACAGCTTCCCATCGGGCTGCTGTTTGTTTAACACCTACTTCAAGGATCGCGCAAAACCAGAAAGATGATTTTTTACGGCAGGCACTTAAAAAAATATGGATAGAACAAAAACCAAAGTCGAGAGACCTGTTACAGTGCCTTACATAATAGGAAAAACCCGTGCAGAGCGCGGCAGGTAACTCTTCGGGGAGTTTTTGGACTCGCTTCGAGAGGCTTGTAATTCATATTTTCCAAACAATTTCTCTACGCAATTTTAACACTTTTGTCCAGCATAATTTCTAGGTTTCGGATCCAACCGACCTACACTCATCCTTTGTCCGCGATACTAAAGTATAATAAAAACCCTCGGGTGCTTGAAAGCCAGGCGGGGGCTCGAATGGTTTTTGAAGAGGCCGCGACTGCGTTTCTCACTGTGTCACCCAAATGCTTTCCAGGAATATCTTAGAGATAGAGCAACGGCCATTCAATAAATGATTCTGGTCAATGGCAGGGAGTGCCCAGGAAATCCCATTCAGAGATGACCCGAAAACGATAAAACCCAACTATTCCGGAATGCGGTTGAGCATGCCGCCTCGACTAATATTTATGGATTCATTTGGTTATTTCTAGGAACATGACTGGGTACTTCTCGGGTTATTCATATAACTAACGGTTTAGATACGCAAAATAATTAAACTTGTACAAACGCAGCTGTGTGATATGGTACAATATGTATCTAATATTTGTAATAGAATATGAAAATATCCTTCCTTTTTTAAGATATAAAGTTTTTTATTGTAAGTCCCTCAAGTATAACTCTTTTTTATAGAATGCACATTTTTAATAAGTTTTAAAATATTTTTAAAAACAATGTTTTAAAAATTCAAAACTTTTTTAACTCTTTGAAATTTTTTCTAATGAAATCTTTTCTAATTCTTGAATACTAAAAGACCCAATAAAAAAGCGTATTCAATAGTTTGAAGTATGGATCAATTGAATCGGTCTGTCAACTATATATAACACATAATTCGCTTCATTCACAAACCAAAGCACGCGCCAGACTTAGTAAATATTGAAAGAAGCAGAAAATCAAATAAAATAAAATAAAATATGCACAAACATATGTGTGCACATATATGCAGGGTATACGCGATAAGTCTGCATAAATTGCCGACTGGAATTGTAGCGAATCGGTGGACTAAAACCCAGGGGGAAATTGGAGGAGACGAGCAATTCCAGTGGGAGCACGTCGCAGTCATTTCCGTAGTGAGATACAATATGATTTGCAGATACACACATGTGTGTTTTTATCTTCCCATTATTTGCACACTTTCGTCTCGGGAGTATATCATCTGGTCTTATGACTATATCTTTTGGCAGTCGCCTCAAGGTCAGTCCATCAAAAGAAGCGACATATCGCAACAACATTCGCTTTGGGGTTCCATTGATAAGAAGCGGCAAGTAACAGAATGGCAGTTATAAAGCAATCAAAAATCCGTTTCTTCCATTCATAAAAACTCGGTTTATCAGTGGCGAACATATGCGGGCTAAGCGGAAAGTGTGGGGGGTTCAAAAACGGGGGGCGTGTTCTTCAGTCGTTATGTTGGTGACGTCACTCGAGTGCAGCTGGCGCTAATTCATTTTTTTCGCTGTATTTGCTGCACTCGCTCCGGTTTCCGTTTCTGCACAACCCGCAGACTCAGATTTCCTCTGGATTTTACACAGAAATAAAATATGATCAATGCCATAATCATTTTAAGGATAGATATTTTAAGATACACACATAGAATATATGTCTTAAGTTATAAATACATTTTAAATAAAAAATTATAATTTGTTGATGAGTCTTGAAATATTTTCAAATTTTTCTCAGTGCAGGCCCCTTTTAGCAACAACCTCCCACACTCCCCTGACCACTAGTGGTTTTATTATTATTTACAGCAAACAGATAAGTGACATTTATCGACTTTTTACGCGCTTTTAACTAAGTTCCAATATGTTTGCACACTTCTGTCGGCCAGCTCGTATCTTTCGACCAAATGTATC